CGTAAGTCTATCGCTACTTAAAATCACGCGGCTCTCAGTGGCTTTTCGCAGCGGGATCTAGGAAATGACGGGGGACAATTTGTAATTCAATTTGTTTATCTGCTAGGAACCGAGGTTTATCGTTCATTAATATTTAGTACGACGAGGCGCCGGCCACCGGCTTCGGCTGTCTTAGAATCGCATTATGAACGCTTACAAATTTAGACGAGTGGTATGCGGGGCATTTTGAGAAATCACTTGCGACTCCGCTTTTATCTTGGATAGTTGCGGCCACTTATAGTATTAACCTTGGTGGCGTAAAGTAAACCAAGTGAGACTGGTGGCGTCAACAATGAAATAGTTAATATTGAACGGTATTTATGCATAAAGTGAGAGGTATTGTAGGCCCGTTTCAAATTGTCTGAGTGTTGAAGATTTGATCACCATTGTGCTTTTTATAAAACAATGTAACTAATATTTCGTCGTATCTCATATTTAGCGAGTGACAATTACTCGATCATATAGAGGTTCTCATAAATTCTAATAGTAAATTTGTTATGATCTTTAAATTCGCATAATAATTAAAATAGTTTGCTGGCAGCTTTTGAGTGATCATAATAATATACGTATATACTTTTATTACTATTATCTTATTACATAAAACGACAATCCATAATACATCAATCGTTATGACACAACAATAACGGACGGTAATGTCTAAGCCATTGATGACCATATAATTTTTGTAACAACATTACACGAATTATATAGGACGTTATTAGACGAAACCGTTTTGTCAAATCTCGTGGAGATTAAATTAAAAATAAATAAGACGTGACGAGTGCCGTACAATATGCGTCATTTCTTGCTAAACAGTATTCATGAAAAATCCTAAAATGACGAAAATTTTTGATTAATACTACTCAATTCATGGAGAACACCTACTAGATATAATGCTCGTATTTATAAATTCCTCTGAAACTGCCCATTATCACATTTAGAGAAACTAATTTCTTTTCCTTAAAAATTGTAACTTCTTGCATGAACTCGGACTAATCAACCCAGTCTTCGAAGAAATAAAAGAAAGAAGAAAACATTTAATTTTGTATATTATGAAATCGTGAACAAATTTGATAAAGTGAAGCATTTGGTACATTGACCTCAAAAGTGCAGTTTCCAAAAAAATGCCTCTCCAAATACACCGCAAATCTGAACGAGAAAGCCGCGGTTAATTGATCCGTACACTAAAACGTAGGCACTGAAATACGCTGGGCAATTTTATAGCGCGTCAATTAGTCGCATTTAGAAGAGCCTATTCAGACCTTAATGTTCAACTTAATGGCCTTTTGTTCTCCGGGCATCCGATTAGATTGACGTCCGTTAATTGCTTACTCGCCGTTTAAATAACACACAACGTGTAATCGACAAACAGATGTCGCGAAGGGGACTCATTAAACGGTTTTCTGAGGCAATTTTTCTCCTCCGCCTCGAGTAAAGCCCGCGACGTCGCCAACCGACCGGATTACTCAGACCCCCGCTGCCAAGCTGCGTACAAACGAGCAAATAAAATGCTAATTCCCAACAAAATCAACTTTGATTAAATTGTAAATACGCGAACGGTGCACGCTTTAGTCCGTTGCCGAAGCCAGTTCTTTAATTGAAATACATGTGATTTTTTTACCCTGCAATGTGCAGGGTGCGTTATTTTTTGTTTGTTTGTCGAAGCGTATTAAGAAAACAGCGCCACTGGAGGGCGGACGAACCGTGTACTAAAATATTTTTTTCTAAACCTACCCCTATCTCAGTGCTGCCACCCTCGGGTGAAAACCTTCAGCGGTGAAAATAACCCTTGAATATCATAAAAGTTCCACTACTGCCCGCTAGGTGGCGTAAAACGAACGCGTCCCGAAGCATTCACTCAGAACTTGCACTAGTATGCGTGATAGAGCGAGAGCGCAAGTGAAAATAAAAAAGGAGTAAAATAGACAGCAATATGTGTATACAAAGGCGTGGTTACGTGCATTTAAACGTTTTTTTATCGCAAAAATGGCCGGAACTTCACAAGTTGCACGTTAAAGCGTAAAGTCGCAACTACATTGCGCGAAGTGAGATTTATGTTTTAAAACCGGGCTGTAAGGTCGAAATTCCTTAAAGTGGTGTATGGGCTTCGGTTAAAAGTTGGAAGGATGGCGAAATAATTGGCGTCACCGGCGTCGCGGCGTCAATAGAGAGAGAAAGTATCAGGCATCTAGCTCTGCGTTAGAGCGGGCCGCACGGGCAACCGTTAGGCGGTCGGGAACGGCATCGGCGGACGCGATGCGCGAGAGAGGGACGCAGCGAAAAAAACGCCGATGGAAAAAGGCCATTTTCACGAAAGGTGCGCGCCGCGATAGAATTGCGGAGGCATGGGCGCGGTTTAAAAAACGCCCGGGGCGCCTGCGCGTCGGTAAAAAGCCGACACGGAAGTAACGGGGGAAAGAGAGGTCGGCGGGGCTCGCGCGTGGAGTTGCAGTGTCGCGGCGGTGCCCAGGGCGGCCGCAGCGCACGACGAAAACAATGAGCGCTAACTGCAACGTTCATCAGCCGAAGACCGTTGTGCCAAATGCTCTGTGAACGGCGACATGCCTCGTGTCCCCATGTGTGTAGTGTTACGGTGCGGAAAGTTCGGAGTGGCGGCGCCGGAAGGTAAATATCAAGGTTTCTCGCAAAAATTTCGGTGCAACAAACAGTGGCAATGTCGCGTTGTTCGTCGATTAACTTTTACCGTTCCAATGTCCCAAACGTAACTAAGCGGCGATAATCGCTTACATGTTCAGTGTCCTTTGTATAAAACTAGCATTTTATATTTTAAATTTTAATCAAACAAATTTATTACTCAAGGCTTGACAGCAAGACTAGTGATCAATCTTAAACTCGCGTAAAAGTAAAATTCTAATTTTATACATTACCTGCGGTTTTTATGTTGTACTCGTGCTAAATGATGATTGTCAATGTCTGTAAAACAAAATGCAAAGCATGCAGCGCGTACCATAAAATGATGAAGGGAAAAAAATAGGAATGTTTTGAACGACTTCAGTTGTTATCTGTATAGAAAGTGCCGTTGTCAACGGAGTGTCACAAATCGCACCTTCAACAACAATAAAAGCGTTATCGGCGACGAATGTCAGTGTCGGGTCTATCTCACACGATAAGCCCGATAACGGGTGTCAGGTGAGAGATATTTCTTACAATCAAACTCGCATTGAAAAAAACATTTCACGCGTTTAAAACTTAAACGATACAGACCGCGCTAAAGTATTAAAGAAAAGACAGCTTGAATGAAATGACAAAAATTTTGGCTTACCCACAATGTATTTTTTCAATTTAAAAGATAAATTACTTCATTACAACTGCTATGTTTCAGATGGAATTTTATGTACAAAAAATAAGGACAGTTAGTTAAAAGAACGTAGAGAGAAAATTATGAACATTTTCATTGACTGTAATAGTTGTGTATAACTGCTGCTGATTTTATGCCTAAATAATTTTCTATACTTGTAACATTTAAAAAGATAAGAAGACCGCAGAGTTTTTTGTCGGTTCTTCTTTGGACAGGTCAAGTTACGTGAACCGGTGGTAGTTTTTTGACATTCAATAAGCTAAATATAAACCTATATTAAATGGTTTATTTAATTTTGACTTTGACTGAACTAATTGGTTTTAAATGTGTTCGTTACACAATTAACTCACTAGTTAACTAAATTACCCTTTATAATATCTATAAATTAATATTATATGCAAAAATTAATATTATATGCAAAAAAACAACGAGAAATGTTGGTTTTGTGAATGTTGCCATTGTTTTAACTTTTGCTATTTTAAATAAATGGACTTCCATATTAAGAAATAATTCCCTAGTTACGGTTTCACAAATAGAAGAATAAAATAATTGATGACATAATTCAAGTTGATACTTGATATATTCAACTAGGTACATATTCCAATTGAATTGAAAACTGCTAGGTTATATTTGTATTTTATTATTATTTTAAATGTGTGACGTCCTTTTGCGTCATTAAAAATGCAATTTATCCATCAAAATTCTTAAAACCGATCGCCATCACTTGAAAGACGTTTTATTTATTATTAGGTAAATAAATGTTATAATTGCCTTAACATCCAAGTTTAACAATTGTCTGAGTTTTTATTACGCTTATAGGCGGCTACAATATATAAATGACGTTTCACACAGAGGTAGAATGAGATTTTTATATAATTGTATGATACGAATAACAATTTATACTACAGCCTAGGGAACTATTTTAAATATTTCCGAGGGTATTAAGCTGGTTGGTTTGATTTTATTGTTAAAAAATGTACTATAAAATGGTTCCACTATGGCCACACGTGTGTATGTATACATCTGAATATAACTCAACGTGTATCTGTTTTAAAATAGGCAATAATCGTAAATCTAACGTAAGTTATGTTATGTTGTAGTTTATTGTTAACAGCTTCATTAATAATGTCATATCATTCCCGAATTATGATATTTAATTGTGTTGTCCGCCTTGGCCATGCAACCAGTGATTGTCTAAATTGAGCGTAACTTGTTAGGTTCATCGTTGCGTGAAGTTATATATCAGTTATTAATTTCAGCAAGCAACTGGTATCTAACATCTACACGCCACATCGTGCGGTCTCGTGTATCTGACACCGAATACAAGACGAAGAGTGGATGACAGCGCTTGCTTTATTAAAATTTCAAGACACGACACGATTCGACTGCGCGTACTTACAAAGTCTGTCACTATGACTATCACACTGACACTAGGGCTACGCAGCTAATGCTAAGCGTTCCCGACACACATGCGTTACCGCTCAAACTACTGCTACATGCCGTCCCTCTCTTCCGCGAGAAGATATATGCTCCGTCTCGCTCTACACATACGAGTGCCGCGGTACATTGCTTGCCACGATTGTATGCCTAGCGCATAGGGGCTAGATTTGCTTGGCGCGTATTCAAAATAGGAGCGTTAGTAATGGATGGATGGGAGCTAAGCGTGTACGTGTGCGTGCGAGAGCCGGCGACCCTCCCCCGCGCCGCCCCCGCCCGCTCGCCGACGTCGTCCGAGCGAGTGGCGCGCGTTTACACAATCCGTTGGCTTGGCGCGGGCAATGCTTGTGTCGCGTCGCGCCCTTCTTGTGACGACAATCGACGCGAGAACACGTACAGTCACTGGTTTTTTTTTTCCGATAATTCCGAATCATACGGTCTTCACGCGTAGCGGTTGTAGAACACCATTATAGAGTTGAATTAATAAATATAATAACCATCGTTATTACTTCGATTTTATACTCTCATAGCTTTGCCGGGAAAGTGACACGTCTATACTCTACGCCTTTTTACGATTTACGGTTAATTTGAAGGGAATATTCAGTCAATATTGAAAAAAATTTTTTTTTAATGCATTATAATATGATAGAACTGTGAAAAAGTAAAGCGACTGTTAGTGAAGAGTAGTGGTACAGTGCCGGATATTTATTCAACAAGAAGTAAGCACATATTTGTGCTAAATTTAAAGAGAGAAAATGAAACAATCTAGAGAATTTATCGGAGAATTGATTATCCTCAGTAATCATGGTGAGTGTCTCTTATTTAATTAAACAATTGTGTGAATAGGCTAGCCGTCGGTAGTTTTTTAACACAGTTTTAATTTTTAAAAACATTGAATAATATGAACCTCCGATATTCACAGCTTATAAGAGAAAAAATTATCAATAAAAATAATGTACCTATATCTTCATAATCAATAAGAATTATAACTTGCTAATAAGAAAACAGCAACTTGAAATTAAATTAATTAAAAAATAATTAAACCTATCTCAAGTGGAATAACTTTGAACGATACTTAATTAACAAAATAATCAAATTTATTATTTAATGTTCACATTCTTAGAAAATCTGCTTGAATAAATGCCCGCTTGGTAACTCAGTGGCTGATAAAAACTGTTCAATTTATTATCTAGTTGCTGTGATACTTAAGCCCGAGCCCTTATCGACATTGTCTGAATGTTTCTGAAAATAGATATTCGTATATATTTTTCATCGCTTTTCTTGACAAAAAAATTATGAAATCATGATTTTTTTTAATGTTCATCATCTTGAGTTTCAATATTATAGCCCCAATTACACTTCCGCGAAGATAAAATAATTACGGGCACATATCAAAATTGTACAGATCACAGAATATTATAATATAATTATAATTAAGTTTAAATGTATTGTTATTGTCAAAAATATCATTATGGAAAGGTACAGCTTAAAAACTTTCAAGGAAAACTTATTATGTACCTAGTCAAATTTATTTTTTAAATTACTGCCAGTTAGCGTCAAAACTCTACTATTGTTTCAATGCCATATAATATCCCTATTTAATATTATAAATGTGAATGTAAGTTTGTTTGGTACGCTTTCACGCCACAACTACTCGAAATGATATTATCATGAAACTTTGTACACATATTCTTAGAGGCATTAAAAAGGACATAAGGATTTTTTATTAAAAAAAAAAAGTGTATTTAAAAAAATATTTAATAGCTTCAACACGGGCGAAAAGCTAGTATCTTATAAAATAAATAATAAATGTATATTATAAAAGTTACTCAAAATATGTTTTGATATTTACGTGGTTACTACCACTCTATTGTACTGTACCACTGTATGTCGTTACTTCTTAATATTTTTTTTTTTTTAATGTGAAAGACTAGTGTATATTTTGGAAATTCCGAAATAAAATATTGGAATAAAAAAAATTGTGTGAAAATTATTTAACAAAAGTATTATTATTAAATACACGGTGAAGTAAAAAATGTCATCGATATACATATTAATAATAATTAAAACAAATGTTTATGACAGACCTCTGTAATTTGTAATATTGAATGCATTCGAAACTTGAAAATATCATGGTCGTTGGCAATAAAGGAGTTCAGTCATTTGGTTTGAAACCTATGATTAACGGTCATCTACGACATGGCTGATACTTGCTACGACAGATAATTGCTATTTGTGGCTCGTATAGAAATAATACTTTATTGTAACTTTCTATGCGGTACAAAATTAAGGTTACGTTAAATTATAACGAAAAGTTATATATTTTTTTAAATAAAGCGTACTTGAAAGCTGTAATATGTTAAAATACTAAATTAGTAAAAGTTCGTTGAAGGCTTTGTTGTTTTAGAATAATAAAATATAAAAAATATATCTCTGTCGGTTGAAAATTTAATATTTCATAGATACAATGATAAGAATTTTTTAATCGTAAAAGGGTAGACAATAAAAACGCTATTTGAAACAAATAAAGATCTCGCAATTAAAATTATTTGTATTATACTCACGATATCTGTGAATCAAATGTAATAAATTAATTTACTGTAACAATGTATTGAAACTATGAATAACGAGAGGTGTTCAAAAATTTTATTTACGTTCTCTTCTCTGTAGGCTTGCAATATCTCAATGTTCGAAACCTTCCCATACAGATGTCCGACGACATTTCGCCTTCGATATGCGTCATGATAATGCAACGAGTTTGAAACCGCGCGCCCTAATATGCATTTGGCCATTAATTTTTTTAAAGGCCCGACTAATTTGGTGTAGGACGGTACGTTTTTGATATGCAACGAACACCCGTGTGGCATCGGCTGCGTGTACTTTTATCTGTAAGCTCCAAGTGCGTAACATTAATCAGCTGAACAATAATTATTGTATGCGTACAGAGCATTTCATAATGTATGGCTATGACGGGAATAGCTATGTTTTGCATTTGTCAACATATTCGAATTACGAATTATGGATGTATTGGATTCACACGGGCGGCGGGAATGTCGGATTACCGAAGCCATTACCTCTGCGTTGAGATAAGTATGAAGATATTAATCGGCCGCACGATGCCTGGATTGATAATTTAATCGAGCCCCGGGCGACTTGTGTATCGTTAGTCACAAGGTGAGGCCTCGGTTCGATTCCCGGCTGCTAATTATTATTTATGGCCCACTTATCTCACGCCCGAGGCCCTAGGAAGTATTACCAAATGTTAAGCGCGCTCCATGTTTTGAACACCCAGCGGTTAATTGCTCCGTCCTGAGATCAATCTCGGCCTAAGAGTATGGGCAATGCACGTTTCGAGTGATCGATCATTGCTATTGTCATTTAATTAAAAATAATTAGCGAAAGCTCTTTGTATGTTAATTACATCATCTAGTTTCTATTGCGTCTCGATGTTTATGTTAATATATTCATTGTTCACTCGCATTGGTGCCGTTAATGTGAATCATATGATCGCTATCGGTATAAATGAACTGAGTCTCTATTTAATCCACGTGAAATAATAGCGCAACACTACGGATTCCCGCCAGTTAGCAGCGGCCATCTTGTTAATTTCGCGTTACCACTGGCCGGGTCGTAAATTCCCTTTTAATTTTCAATCCGCTCACACATTTCAATCGCTGACAACTTTATACGCCGCTAATTGTTTGGCTAGTTGCCATCACATGGTGCGATTTTTCCCGACCTAGTTTCGAAACTCACCTGTAGGTTTTGTGACGACGCTCACCTATGAGTTTTAAGAAGCCAAGCGTAGTGTCCACGCTACAAATAATAATTTCTATCACGTCGTTTCCTTTTTTATGAATTCGAAGAGGTCGTGACGTTGCGTGAAGTTGCATCGCGTGGCGTTATGGCCTTGGATTTATTTCAACTCTACCCGAGTGTACCTGTACCTGTCTTATAGCCATTCTCAAATGCATAATGGCGGTCTACATAGTTGCGCATTCTTTGTGTCAACGATCAACTTGGCCGGCACACCCACATTACGGTCGGCGGAATATAAATCCTGTACTGTTTCAATCGTCCATGCAATTACAAACTCAATCACGGTTGGACAACTCTCAAAATTGTTCATATCCTCGATCGGTCGCCGCGTGTAACTCTTTGGCTCGTATATTCTCGTTGCACGTGGGCCAACGTTCGACTGCGACATTGATCGTCCTACAAAATGCTGTTTTATTTTCGTTACATTATCGACACGCCGATACGCGTCCGCTGATTAATTTTCGATTTTAATGCACGCCGATATATCACATTTTTATATCGCGGCCGCTCGCTCGGTTGCCTTTTTTTTTTGGTTGAGCCGAGAATGACGTCGGCGAGACCATGATTTGTGTATTAATATCGCGTTTGGAGCTTCATATATGTTTTATTTGAATTTTTAACGTCCGCACAAAAATCGAGTATGATGTGGCAATCTCACCTTATTTTCTTACCGAAAGAGCGTTCGATATTAACCAGTTACGAAATTATCAAATACGATGACTCAGTGGCGTAGTTGCCACGGGCTTCGGCGCTGTGGTCGTGGGTTTGATTACCGCACGAGACAACAATTTGTGTGACCCACAGATAATTGTTACGGATCTAGGTACAACACATGATTATGTTATCTTACACTAAGGTTGTTTTTTAAAACATTGCCCGTTTTAAAAAACATATATCAAATACAACATGAATTAACTCTATGTTACACGAAGACGTTTTCTAATATTTTCGTTTTCTGAAACACTGATCATCGTAGATTCCAATGAATTCAGAGAGTTCAACAATCCCTTTGGCAACACAAATAACATTTGAAAATCCATTTGACAGCTGATTAGTTGACTTCTACGATGATCAGTGTTTCAAAAACCGGGCGATAATATTAGAAAATGATCTCATTAATCACATCTCACGAAAATTTTCAATCTACAGATCGATACCTCGTCGTTCTTTTTATAAGCCCTAGCGCCTTATGCGGGGACAACTAGGCTCTACAGCCGTAACTTGAGGCTATAGACCTGGTGCTGGTACGGGAAATAATTCCATCTGTCCTTAATAACAGCGCGGGAAATAACCCACGTTGCGGCGGTCGCTTATTAAACGGATTATATGGAAAGGCATTCGTAGAGCTGCGCTAATTGTTGTACCGGTACAATGTAGAGTACATTGTAGCAGTAAGGGGTTTCGGAATCCGGGAAGCATCCGAACAAGAAATAACTCATAGTCGTTAATAGGCAGCGGACGGTTTCGTCTCCCGCATTCGTAGGCTCCGCTAAATAACAATATTCGATGAACAATGTTGCATTGTATAAAGTCAAGGACGCCGTGCAAATGAACCCGTTTCGAAATTTAAAAACTGTTTTTATTTATTATTTAAACAAAGAAACAACATCGAATATCTTTTTAACGCGT